GGTGCCTCAAGTTGGCCCACATGACATATGGATAAAGGTAATGTGTCTCATTTTGTTTTGTCATACTATATAGCTATATTTCCTTGCCAAGTCACTGTTGTAATGGATTGGTTACCTAATGTATGATTTCCTGTGCACCAACATATGCAACAGATAAGAAGGTTGTAATAGATGCATCTCCTTCATCTTCCTCCGACAGTTCATCAGTGAGCGAATAGAAATTGCAAAATACGACAGTGATGCCCAGGTGGCCATGTTTGCATGCATGTTTCATAGGACGCTGCACATGACTGTTGGAAATCCAGATTCCAAGATAAACCGCCACATTGGAGCCATTGGCACACGTTTTCGTTTGCTGTCGTGCGCTCTTGCCCTCATTCAAGGTAAGTAGATGTGCTGTGTGTTGTTACTTTCTGATATATGTCAGGGTTTTGTGGATAAGGATTTTATTTCAATTATGGGAGAAAAAGGAAATGTGACAGGAAGGCACTAATTTGATTTATATCATGCTTCAGTAATTTGCTTTTTATTTCAGGTGCCTCAGTATGGTTATCTTAATATCATTAGAAACTTAAAAGCATAGGAATATCAGAAATATTACATTAGCTATTGAATATATATTAGATAAGTCCTATCGAAGTCAAAATTATGTTCTGTATAAAACAATGAAGCTAAAGCTAATGTGATTGGTTCTTGCTTACAAGGGCTAGGATGATGCCTTGTTTTAAGAGACTTTTGTGGGGCAGGTGAAAAAATCTAAGGAATGAAGCAATCCAGCAGTTGCAATTGAATGCTGTTATACTACTTTCCTTTTTTTATTTTTTATTTATTTATTTATTTATATATTTATTTATTTTTAGGTGATACCATCCCCAAGTCCCTCAGCAAAAATGTTCTTCGTGAGCGTATTTACTGTGCCTGCCTTGATTACTTCTGTGCTGCCCGAGGATGTCCCACACAACGACCAGCCTGCCTCCAGGAAGATATCAATGCTCTCCTAAACTTCTGGAATGCTCTCCATGCTGACAAGAAGTACCTGAAGACTAGTGTCATTGGAGGTCAGAAATGTTGTTGCTATTGTTTTTGCCATTTTTTTATTTATCTATGTTTTTTTTTATTTAGTTTTTATTACTTTACTTTACTTTAGTGTATTTAACTTCATAAAGAAGAATGTGTATGTACAGTTTTATAGGACACTAGATAGACACCAAATTTTGTTTTAAAGAAATTGTGAAATATTTCTCATTTAACTATATACTAAGTACACACTATTATTATGCCAATGTAGCTTACTAAAGCATTCTTTCCCCAATTTCAGACTTCACCTCTTATCAGTATGGAGGGGGTGCCTCTCTCTCCCCATCCATGGCCTCAGACCTGAGATCGACGTCAGGTGAGTTTGTTGTGAATAATGCTGGCTGGATCAACACTGTCCCACTGTCATCGAATACGTCTACACTCTCCAAGAGGTCAAACCGCAGCAAAAGAATGGTTAATCCTGATGTCTATGTCAAGGACTATCTCAAGAAAAGGGCGCTTATCCTCTCCTTGCTGGTAAGTTGAAGTGGTGTTCGTGGTCATTCAGGTATTATGAGAATGAGTTTCCTGAGTTAACTTTCAAGCAAAAATTTTGTAGAAGTTTACACAGTCGTTACTATTTAGTGTATGAAATATTGTATTACAAGAAGGATTCTGTAAACCTTATGCATTCTAATAGGCAGTAGAGATTCAGGCCCTGAAGGTATGGCTCCAACCTCCACAACCCACTGGCCAAGGAGGAGAGGTGACAACTCCACAAGAAGAAGCTCTAGTCAAGTGGTTGTCCGGTGGGTTTAACAGCCAGAAAGCCTGGAGTGGAAACACAAACCTTGCTTGGAGTATTTCACCAGCACTAGCTGTTTATTTGTCTACTAGGTAAGATTTTAGAAAATCTTTTTAATTGTAAATGGGTCTGTACCATATGTGTATTTTTGTGATTACCTGCTTGTTTATAATTTAAGCAAGTGGATATTTGCCGCACCTGATTTCCCCATTCCTTGAATTTGTGGGAAAATGTGTTTTTCTTTCCAGTACTATTAATATTCGCATTGTTATCATTCTTATTAAATTATTATTAAAGTATTAATAACATCAAAGACAGTAAAATAGAAATGAAGCTTTCCAAAATTCAAAGAAAATGAAAACAGGTGAGATAACTAAGACTAATAGCTGACTCCTTGGTTAACTAAGCACTTGTAGAGTCTTCTATGGGTAAAGACAGTAGATAAACTTTTATTACAGTGGGCATGGCATTGTAGTCCACCTGCATTAACTGGGCCGAGAAAATTTTACTGAAGTATAGGACACATTCTTATGATATAGTTCTTCAATTGATAATTGAAAGATAGTGGAGTGGTTGTTAGCATTTTGTTTAGGTATTAACTGATGCTTAACAATCAAGTATTTTATCTCCAGAATCCATAATGTCCAAGGATTAGATGCAGAGATCAGCAACCTTGTCCGTGAAAACCCCATAGCTGTTAGTCACCTTGGGGAAGCTCTGCAGTACTTGGCCACTTCAGAAAACATTCTTTCAGATATTCCAGAGGTAAAGTTCAGTTATATTGGCAAGTGTTTTTGTTTTGAGTGTTTTTTTTTACATCAGTTGCTTATCCTTACACTCTCTTTGTATTCTTATTTCCATTATATGCTCTATGTTAATTCTTCAATTTTCATTTTTCTTGGCTCATTTCTTGCTCAAGTTATATGTTTCTTTAGATAAGTTTCACATTGTGTATATATGAATATTAAATATTAATTTATTTTTGCTGTGAATTTATGGATTGTAATGATCTATTCCTTGAAAGCCACTTTTGTAATTTTATCTTCCAGCTAAACTACATGTTGACATGGGCTCCAGTGCCACCTGTCAAGGCACTGGCATATTTCTCAAGGCAGTATCCACCTCACCCCTTGACTGCCCAGTATGCTGTTAGAGTATTGTCTAACTACCCTGCAGACACCATTCTGTTCTACATCCCTCAGCTGACACAATCGCTTAGATATGATACTGTGAGTAGATTCGAGAATTTTCTTTTGTGTTTTATGACTTAGGCATTTGTGGAATGTTTCATCTTTGTTTTATGATTTCTTCTTGCCAGTGCTCTGTTATATATTGTGGTTTCCATCTTGAATATGATTAGAAAAGAAATAAGTATTGTTGGTTAACATTTTAATACCTGTTATGTTATGTATGAATGTGGAGCTAATTGGTTATATTTACTTGTCAGATGGGTTATGTAGGTGAATTCATAAAATATGCAGGCAAGAAATCACAGCTGTTGTGCCATCAGCTGATCTGGAACATGCAGACTAACAAATTCAGGGATGAAGAAGGACATGAGAAGGATGGTAAGTAGAGATTTTTCTCTCTCTCTCTCTCTTTCTTTCTTCTTCTTTTCTTTTCTTTTCTCTTCCCAAGATACAAATATATGAAGGTCATGGGTAGGTAAAACATAGAAGATTGTCTAAGAGTAAATTGTAATTGCTGTTGTTCTTTCTTTTAGCTGATTTGTTCGAAGTGTTTGAGAATTTGGAGAAGGCTTTGATCGGCCAGTTTGCAGGGACAGCCAAGCAGTTTTATGAGAGGGAGTTTGACTTCTTTGGGAAAGTCACTAACATATCAGCAATCATCAAACCGTATCCAAAAGGTGAGATTGAAGAGAAGGTTATATATTGCAGAAATGTGTATCTTTGCATGTCTCAAACATATCCATATATGAAAAGTGAGGGAGAATAGAAGGGGTGTCTGTTTGTGTCACTGCACGCATGCTCATACGAATAAATTCTTTTACCTCCTCCTAGGTATTGAGAGAAAGAAGGCATGCTTAGAGGCTCTCAAAGCAATCAAAGTGGAGCCAGGATGCTACCTGCCATCTAATCCAGAATCGGTTATCCTGGACATTGATCGAAACAGCGGAACGCCAATGCAGAGGTATGGTTTGTGAGATATAGATTGTTATTTACTTTTTAAAGATAGCGTCTCTTTGTTAGGAAATGTATCTTTTGTGGGGGGTCCTCGTTGAAATTATTTCTTTGTATTTTATGTCTGTCTTTGTGTGTGTATTTTTGTGTTATTGGTGTTGATTTGAGTCGTAACATATGATATTTTGGATGCGTTTTGATTGCATACATTTTTATTTGAAAAGATTTGTACTATATTTGGAAAATTATTCAAATTCTCAAAACCATGGTATTGAATTAAAGAACAAATTTTACCAGTCTGTGTTATTAGTGCTGATTTTAATCAAGTGTATAACATTTTGACTGTATACTTCTTTATTTAAAAAAAAATTATTCTGTGTTTGGAAAATTATTCAAATTCTCAAAACCATGGTATTGAATTAAAGAACAAAATTTACCAGTCTGTCTTTTTGGATGTATTTTGTTTGTGTTATTAGTGCTGATTTTAATCAAGTGTATAACATTTTGACTGTATACTTCTTTATTTAAAAAAAAATTATTCTGTGTATGGAAGATTATTCAAATTCTCAAAACCATGGTATTGAATTAAAGAACAAAATTTACCAGTCTGTCTTTTTGGATGTATTTTGTTTGTGTTATTAGTGCTGATTTTAATCAAGTGTATAACATTTTGACTGTATACTTCTTTATTTAAAAAAAAATTATTCTGTGTATGGAAGATTATTCAAATTTTTGAAAGCATGGTATTGGAGTAAATAACAAAATTTACCAGTCTGTCTTTTTGGATATATTTTGTTTGTGTTTTTGGATATATTTTGTTTGTGTTATTAGTGCTGATTTTAATCAAGTGTATAACATTTTGACTGTATACTTCTTTACTTGAAAAAAAAAAAAATTCTGTATATGGGAGATTATTCAAATTTTTGAAACCATGGTATTGGAGTAAATAACAAAATTTGCCAGTTGGCCATATTAATTCTAAATTGTTCTGCCTTTTCAGCGCTGCCAAAGCCCCATATTTGGCAAGGTTTAAGGTGCGTCGTTGTGGCATCAAGGAGCTCGAGAAGCAAGGAATGGCAGTCAGCTCTGGGCAAGAGGTTGACTCAAACATTGGTCCTGAAATTTGGCAAGCTGCTATATTTAAGGTAAGATGAATTAAATGAATACACACTAAGGATCTAAAAGCTTAAAAGAAAAATGAGTAAACCTTTTGCTGCTTTGTTGGAGTTGATGGAACCTATACCTTTAAACGTTTAATAGGTGGGAGATGATGTACGACAGGACATGCTGGCCCTTCAGGTAATCTCCATTTTCAAGAACATCTTCCAGACAGTGGGACTGGACTTGTTCCTCTTCCCATACCGTGTTGTGGCCACCTCTCCTGGGGTAAGAGTCATAGAAATAAGAGCAAACGTTGATGATAGTATAATGCCTTGGAATAAATTAGAGAGTTATTGTACTCTTTTTTGTTTCTTTGCCTGTGTTATTACTTGATTATTTTTATGGATTTGTGTTGTAAAGAACTTTAATTTTATTGCTGCAGTGTGTGTTGCTTAATAGATGTAAAGATCCGTGAGAAATTTATTCTTTATATTTCAGTGTGGTGTAATTGAGTGTGTTCCCAATGCTAAGTCTCGGGACCAGCTAGGTCGCAGCACGGACACTGGGATGTTCGAGTATTTCATCAGCGTGTATGGGGACGAAAATTCTCATGCTTTCCAACAAGCGCGGTCCAACTTTGTCAAGTCCATGGCAGCATATTCCCTGGTGGGCTTCTTGTTGCAGATCAAGGACAGACACAATGGCAATATCATGTTGGATACTGCAGGACACATCATTCATATTGGTAAGGTCAAGACTTTCCCAGTGGCTTTTAACTTGTGTTTTTCTTTCTCTCGTTTTTATTCTCTTTGTCTATTTTCCCTCCTTTCCATTCGTTGTTGACAGTGTTTTACTTAGAAGTAGAAATACATGAAACATGTTTATATAAGATCACCTAGCTGATATCCAGAAAACCAACCTTCCTTTAGATACAAAAGGTATCTCTCTGACTGATTTCGTCCAGATTTTGGCTTCATGTTCGAAAGTTCGCCCGGCGGGAATCTTGGATTTGAGCCGGACATCAAGTTGACCCAAGAGATGGTGATGATCATGGGCGGGAAAGTAGAGGCCGCGCCCTTCCGCTGGTTCGTCGAGCTGTGCATCAAGGGATACTTGGCCGTCAGGTAAGGTTTCGTCGTTTGTTCTCCTTGCATTCATTCTGTTGTTCTCTCCAAGTTGTTTTTAAAAGTAGTAATTGGACCTCTACTTATTACTATTATTGTGACTTGTATCATAATCTTTTTTTTTTTTTGAGTTTTATAAAACCAAAGTAAATACTACAGTCCAAATTTTGCATGTGCAGATAAAAACTCTTTGCAGTTGTAATTTTTGTGTGTTGAAAATAAATCTTAAATATAAAGTCAGTTAAAAAAAAAATCTTTTATGTGCAGTTCTGTGTTCCATTTCCGGATTGTTTTGAAAACTGAAAGTGAGTGAGAGAGTGAGAGTGAGTGAGAGAGAGAGTGAGAAAAAGTGAGAGGGAGAGAGTGAGAATGAGTGAGAGAGAGAGTGAGAATGAGTGAGAGAGAGAGTGAGAATGAGTGAGAGAGAGAGTGAGAATGCGTGAGAGAGAGAGTGAGAATGCGTGAGAGAGAGAGTGAGAATGCGTGAGAGAGAGTGAGAATGAGTGAGTGAGAATGAGTGAGAGAGAGAGTGAGAATGAGTGAGAGAGAGTGAGAATGAGTGAGAGAGAGAGTGAGAATGAGTGAGAGAGAGAGTGAGAATGAGTGAGAGAGAGAGTGAGAATGAGTGAGAGTGAGTGAGAGAGAGAGTGAGTGAGTGAATAAGTGAGTGAGTAAGAGAGAGAGAGAGTGAGACAAAGAGAGAGAGAGTGAGTGAGTGAGTAAGTAAGAGAGAGAGAGTGAGACAAAGAGAGAGAGAGAGAGAGAGAGAGAGAGAGAGAGAGAGACAAAGAGAGAGAGAGAGTGTGTGAGACAGAGAGAGAGAGAGAGAGTGTGTGAGAGAGAGAGAGTGAGTGAGTGAGTGAGTGAGTGAGTGTGAGACAAAGAGAGAGAGTGAGTGAGTGAGTAAGAGAGAGAGAGAGTGAGTGAGTGAGTAAGTAAGAGAGAGAGAGAGTGAGTGAGTGAGTAAGTAAGAGAGAGAGAGAGATAGAGAGAGAGAGAGAGAGAGAGAGAGAGAGAGAGAGAGAGAGAGAGAGAGAGAGAGAGAGAGAGAGAGAGAGAGAGAGAGAGAGTATGTGTGTGAGACAAAGAGAGAGAGAGAGAGAGAGAGAGAGAGTGTGTGAGACAAAGAGAGAGAGAGAGAGAGAGAGTGTGTGTGTGAGACAGAGAGAGAGAGAGAGAGAGAGAGAGAGAGAGAGAGAGAGAGAGAGAGAGAGAGAGAGAGTGAGACAAAGAGAGAGAGAGAGAGTGTGTAAGAGAGAGAGAGAGTGAGTGAGTGAGTGAGAGACAAAGAGAGAGAGAGAGAGAGAGAGAGAGAGAGAGAGAGAGAGAGAGAGAGAGAGAGAGAGAGAGAGAGAGAGAGAGAGAGAGAGAGAGAGAGAGAGAGAAAGTGTGTGTATGTGCGTGTGTGAAATTGATGCTCGTCTTTCAAAATCTAAGCTGTCTCTTTGGCAAAGTACTGCTGCAAAGTGTTTTTTTTTTTCTGGAATTTACTGTTGAGTGCTATTAATGTAATGTGTTGAGTCGGTTACCCTACTGACATTATTGGTAATAGTATAGTGCCTTGATATGAAATGACCCTGTAATCTTAGACGTTGATTTAAAGTCTTGTTCAGTAAGATGATGATAATAATGCTTTGTGGTGGTCATATTGTATCCTAATATAATTCCAGTTGGAAACTGTAACCATAGTTTTCAAATGCATATTGAAGATAAACCCTTGTTATAGCTATTTGTATGTAGTTTTGAACTGTATTACCTGTACATAAGTATGTCATCATTGCTTGTTTTTTGTTTTCCTACCCAAGTTTTATGTATTTGTGATGATTTACCTCAGCTCAATTATTAAGTAGGATGCATTTGGCGGAAAAGGTAAGTTTATGTTTTCAGTCTTCTAACACATTAAATCCTAACCTCCAAGGATCTTTTATTATACCTCTGGTGTTACTGTGGTACAGATGGATGCAAAGGAATTGAAAATCAGTGAGAGGGTAACCCATTTTAGTGAAGAGCAGTTTGTTTAATATATTGGTTTTGTTATTTTTTGCTCTCTAGAATCATGTATAGTATAATGCCTGTGCTATTCTTGTAACTAACACTTTTCCTTTTTAAGTTTTCTGTTGTTACCTCCCAACATGGCTATTTCCATTTTTCGGAAGGGGTACTAACCAGAGGGAAAATAGGAATTTTTCCGCTTATAGTTGGAATACTCTGCTGTATATATGTGTTGCTTATGTAGATCGCTTTGCACAGTGAAAATATAAAAATGTACATTATTTAAGCCTTTTGCTTTTTGATATATGAGGGATTTTTAAAAGTTTACTTGAAAATGTCAATACCAGGGGAGGTGAGACAAGGACCAACTCCCTGAAGAACATGTTGATGAGAAGATTAAGAACCAGTGGTTTAGATGCAAAATCTAAATCATTTCTACCAAGAATTTGTAGTTTCCAGGTTATATTACCAAAAAAAAGTAATAAACAGGGAAATGATGATATTCCAA